TCATATTCCATCGATTCCTTTAACTAGATAAACCATGGTCACGCACTCACCTTGGTTCTAGAGAGAATGAATGAAGAACACGAAGAACACAAGAACCCTAATTGCCCAAACCCTTATGATTTCGTCCTCCTAGACTCGAAATCAGTCACCACAACGACCCCTCTCGTTCTAACAACCTCACAACACAATCACAAGCTTTCAGGATTGAGAATTCAAGGAGATCAACAATGATTCCTTCACTTCTCTCAAATCCTCACAAGAGCACTTTCTTTCTCTCTAAAACTCTTTTGATTTCGGCCAAAAAGAAGAGACAAATGCGACTCCCACGCTTATATAATGGAACCCTAGGGTTCCCTAAACCAATCGGTAAATCGCACGATCAAATGGAACCAACCCGGTCTAATTTTAAAGCTGTGTTGATCAAACCGAGCAATTGGAGCAACCCCGTCGATCCAATTTTAACCTGCGTCGATCGCACACACACCTTGTGTCAATCGACGCAATGCTCAAAATCCAAACACGTGTGTCGATCGACACACATACCCCGAAAATCTACTTTTTGGTTTATGGGCATTACAATTCTGCCCCACAAACACGGATTCGATCTCGAATCACGCAATACAGTCCCCGCTAAAGTTAACACTCCCATCCGAAACCCGACCAACTTCGCACAAAAACACACCAATGCAACGTTTTTTGGTCCAGACCAAGTCAACCCGATTGATCGCACAACAATCAAACAAAAACATGCCCGACCAACCGTAAACCCAGAATTAGACCAATTGATCGCACAACAATTAAACAAGAACATGCATGACCAAGATGCTACATATGTTTTCCAGGATCGTCTGAACCGAGGTTCCAAACGCAAGGAAAAATGCTAGACTAGACGCCACAACCTCATCACACTCCTGACCTACCCGGCCAGCACCACCTGAGATTACTCTCGATCCCTGAGGTTCATCTAGTCTCATACTTACGACCACGCTCAGATGCTACTACTCATAACTCATACTCATAACTTATATACATATACACCACACCTACTCGCAGGATCGTCACCCCTTGAGTTGCGCTATGCACGGAACCCAATATCCCCTGGAGAGACCCACTATCCCTCAAAGTACATGTAGGGAACCCACCGTCCCCCAGAGAGACCGACTATCTCTTGAGTATATGCAGAGAACCCACTATCCCCTGGACCCACTATCCCTTAAGTATGCAGGAAACCCACCGTCCCTTACGTGCATCATAATCACCTGTCGACCAAAAATCGCCTCCATGGCTCACTATGACATTCCCTAACCCGGAATGTCATCACATATGTGACCCTTCACTAGGCCACCCAAAACAACCCAAACACCATGGGTATTTCCATAGAGTCTCTGGAAAATACAGTTCTAACTCACATAAAACCTCTTTTCCAGACTCTCCCTAGGAAATAGACAGATCCTAACTCACATAAGATCTCTATTTCTCAGCGCTATCTAGAGAACAGACAAGTCATAACTCTCATAGAACTGTCATTCCTAGATACTCCTACAACATCGACAAACTCTAACTCACATAGAACTTCTATTTCTAGCCATCACATACACACATGACCCCACTAGGCATGAACATAAGAACTCACCTCTTATAACACATTTAAT